GGTTATTAATTTTAAATAAAAGTTTATTAATTTCTAGTTATATTAATACTTAAAGCATTTTTTAATTTTTTTTTTAATTTTGTGAAAATCTGTGTTGTGGTTTATTTATTTTAAATCTAATTAATATAAAGTAATAAAATTTTTACCTAATTTTTATTATTTCATGTAAGACATTTTTTTTTATGTATGTACTACATGTTTAAAGTTTTTAATAAAGTTAAATTATTATTATTAATTAATATAAAGTATAACTAATAATACAGAAAGAAACATTATAACTTTTACATTTTCGAACCGAATTAACTTTCGCCACTATGAAATCTGTTAAATATCACACTTCATTTCACTTCATTATTAAGTGGAGCCTGCCCGGGTGGCAGAGAAAGTCGTGGAGCCCCCTCATTAATTTACTAGATAGTGCTTTTTGTATTTATTATAGTTCTGAAATAAGTCACTAGATGTCGGTGTCTTTATGTAGTTTTGTGTGTAGATTAACTTCAGTAATCACTATATGATACAAGATGGCGCTATTTTACTTACATCCTTAACAAGTGTCTCTAGGTGTCACTATTACAATTTTAATATTATCTGCATCGCGATGTAGAGATTCTTGCTAATGTAATGAGGTCCGTGTGCCGCGTGACGATTGGCAAGACCTTACTTCATAGGATCATTTCTATAGTAAGTTCTTCACGAGACCTTCACACTATGTGAGATCTATCCAGCCGCGTTGATGAGAAGTGGCGCGGCGCCCTGAGCGTGAGGCGGGCGGCAGCGGTTCGCTGCCAGCCCTCGATGATCGTTCGCTCTCCCGCCTCGGCGGGGGAGGGTGGGGCGTTGTCGCTGTCTGAGTGGCTTTTTGATAGCTTTTTATTAAATTATTTATATATATTATATTATAGTCCCATGGTCTCTACTTAACAATCTTTATATAATTTCTTTTGATCAGTTTATTTTATTAAACAATTAGTTATTTCTACGTGGTAGAGCCATGCTACAGCTTTATTATGGTTGTAGCCATTGTAGCACGAATGGGTTGGCTCGACCGGGGAAGGACCACGCTTTCACAGAAAACCAGCGTAAAATAGCAGCTTAACGCTGCTGTATTTCGTATGGTGAGTGTAGAGAACCGGAGACCCTTTTTACTGGCAAAGGGGCATTCCATCTTAGTCCTCACGGGTGACAACGCATCTGCATCTTGGGTCTTTATTGACGATAGATGTAGATGTCTATGGGTCACAGTAACCACTTACCATCAGGTGGACTGTGTGCTCGTTTGTCACCCGATCCTATAAAAAAAAAAGTTATAGGTTAAAAACAGATTTCAAAATGTCTCTAAAAATATCAATTTCACATGCTGAAAATTGACTAAGCATTAAGCGATATCACCATCTCATAGACGTTTAATAATAGTTCCATTAAAAATTTCATCCCCTATTTTGCACCAGTATGAAATTAAAATTACTTCCTCAAAAGAATTATCAAAATCGGTTAACAATGAGGGCCATTGTTATCTACTTTACTCTTACTTTAATCCACGAGTTTACCTGCCACCAGGGCGGCGCCACTAGAAAGTGAGGTATAATATTTGACAGATTTCATAGGGGGGAGTTAATTTGTTCGGTAAATGTAAGTTATTGTTTCTTTCTGTACTATTGGCTATATTTTAAAAACCAACTTCTCAATTAAATGATATTGTGTAACAAAAAATTTTACCTCAGTGTCAACTAGCGATATCTGGTGAGCAGAAAATTACATATTAGCCCTCCTTGACGAAGCTATCACGTAACGTAGATAGATACGCATAACCTACAGTCAAAATAATCTTTTTTTTTATAAGTCGGCTATAATTTTACATTCGAATGTCGAATATATTATACATTTTCTTTTCTGGCATTTCCTATTGTCCCCTCATAATATAACACGGGCGCGGTGCGGCGGTACGAAATGTACACGTACGTGCAATATATTATCTATAATATAAAAATGAATCGTTGAATGTGTTGCTAAGCGCAAATCTCGAGAGCGGCTGAACCGATTTCGCTAATTCTTTTTTTATAATATTCCTTGAAGTACGAAGATGGTTCTTACCGAGAGAAAAATTTAAAAAATTGCCTGATAAAGTCTAAAAACAACACTTTTCTATATTCCCATACAAAAGATTCGTAATAATACTTAAAAGTCAATTTGAACTTTAATACCATACCATAAAGTTTAAGTGTTAGTGGAGGGGTTCAGGGAAGGCAAAACAATTGATTGACGTTAGTATCGTACAAATATTAATGTCAATATTTGTCAATATTTATAAGATGTTAACATTACTCAAAAACGAAATTAGGGTTCCGCGCAAAAAAAAATTGATATCCATGAAATCGTAGTAAATTCAACGCGGGCGTAGTCGCGGCGCACAGCTAGTATCTAATGTTATTAAATAAAAGTCAGCCCAACAATCAATTAATAATGCACAGAATGCTAGTATGTTTTGAACTTAGAATCAGTTTAGAACAATATCTTTTGGCATTGGATTTTTCACAAAATCGTTAGTTTATTCCTTTTACAGAAACGATTCACAAAGTGACGATTTACTCGAGAAACAGATTGAAGAGAAAGAGAAAATACTCGCGAAAATGTTGAACCTAGAATCTCTTAGCATAGCAAGCCCTGGAGTGAAAAAAGAAGTGACTACAGAAAACACAACATTCCATTACAAACCGTACGTTCCAGAAAAACCGGTAGACGAACCAAAGCAAGCCCAAATAAAACCGGAAAAGACTGAAAAGAAACCGGTAAACAATAAGACGAAATCGGAACCGAACGTTATAGATTTGGTGCCGAAAGTTGTTAAACTGCCTAATAATTGGAACCTAGAGAATATAGAATTAAGGCTGGACATGAAGAATGGAGTTAAGGATGTGATAAACCTGATCTCACCCGACGACCATTTGGACAGCGAGTGGGAAGTCATCTGATCTAATTGGTGGCATTTAGGTAAGATGTTTATCCGGCTTGATTTGACAGAACCAATTATTCGTTCATTAAAAAATTGTTTAGTAATGGTTGTTAAGTTGGTATACTACTAAAGAGTACATGATTGATAATAACCCCTGGGAATGAGGTGATCGCTACCATGCTGTTTCTAATGTTTTCATACTTAATTGTACAACTTAATTATATTGTAAGTGAATATTTAAAAAGTGTCCCGTTGGGTTTCTTGCTGGTTCTTTCCAGGATAGAGGTTTTTTTCTGAACAAGTAGTAAAAGCATAAATATCTTTAAATAAATATTGTACCGTGTAGTGGCGGTGTAAGAATATCAACCACCCTATATCATCCCATGTCGTAAGAGGCGGCAGAAGGAAACAAATCCAGGAGATAGACAGCAGCGCATTCCTAATAACGACTAAAAATAAAAAAATAAACTGCGGTTGCCGACCCGCTTGGCAAGCTTGGCAACTATGGCAAATATTCTCCCTATGAGACAATCTATGGGAGAGGCCTATGTTCAGCAGTGGACTTATATAGGCTGTATCAGTAACGGTAATGTTTAAAAAAAAAAGAGTCCCGCTAGGTTTTTTCCCAGGACAAAGGTTTATTATCCGAACCAGTGATAAAAGCATAATTGACTTTCAATATGTATGCTTGTAAGCAATATTGAATAAAAATTATTATATTTTATTCCGTTCACGCCACACGAGGTAAGAGAATCCGCTACCTCATATCATCCTGTGCGTGTCGTAACAGACGACAGAGAGAAACTGACACAGGAGATGAGCAGCATCATCTTACTGCTAAGCGACGGAGGCGGTTTAAATGTCGACACCGGCCTAGACTAGCACCTCATAGGTGCCCCTCTGGCAGCGATATATTATTATAACTACTTAGTTTGCAAATAAACTAAATTATAATTTATAATATAGTTAAATTTCAAAATAATAAGAACACGTAACTGTTGGGCGTGTATGAAAAACGTGATAAGTGAGGGCGATATAGGAGTATTTAAGTACACGGTGCGCGCTTTGGAAGCTCTACATCTCTATAGAAAGTATTTTTTATTTTATGTAAGTAGGTATGACTTTTATTTGTTTTAAACTTCCGCCCGCGTCACTTTGTAACTTTGCCGCTCTTAGGCAAGTGCCTAGTTTGCCTTAATGATAATCCACCACTGCTAAGAGATTAAATAATAAAAAAAAATAGAAAAACTGCGTTTGCTAACCTACTCGTACTTACCGAGCGTGACAACTGTGACAAACACCCCCTAAGGCAATCTATGGGGAAAGCTTACGTTCAATATTGGACTTTTGATAGGCCGTTATGAATAATTTTTATACGTGGTAGAGCCATGCTGCAGCCATATTAGTAGTATAGTTGTAGCACGAATGGGTCGGCTCGACCGGGGAAGGACCACGCTCACTAGGGTTTCCGATTTCTCGAGGTTTTTTAGTTCTCGGGTGTCGAGACTTCTCGAGCCTGATTTCTCGGGTCTTCTCGGGTTGTCGAGAAAAAATAAAATACGTCTAAATTTTTGTTTAATTAATAAAAAGAGTCTTTAATTTAACTGTGTTTATTTTACATGAAAAAAATCAACATAATTTTTAACAAAAAAAACAAGTTCTCAATAAAAAATCAGCTCAAAACAAAATTGCTAACTAAAAACAATCATACTTCTTCTCCTTATCATAACTAATCTCATCTCACTAATCTGTAATAAAAAACAAAATCTCTGTTAACAATCAGCTTAAAACAAACATCTTAACTAAAAACAATCATACTTCTTCTTATTATAACTAATCTCACTAATCTTTAATAAAAAACAAAATCTCTGTTAACAATCAGCTTAAAACAAACATCTTAACTAAAAACAATCATAATTTTTCTCATCATAACTAAAGATCACTCACTAATCTCACTATGTGGGTGGTATGGTATCACAATTTTTGGCAGTTTTAATGTAATTAAATAAGAGATATCTATCTACTATTAATACGAAAAATATAACTGTCTTTAAGCCTGCTTATTAATTCTTATGAAATATGCCTTAAGATAAACCAAAGCATTAATAGATTTATCAGACAGCCGGCTCCTAATCTTACTGACCACATTTCCCGATATGGAAAATACCCTTTCATTTTCTGTTGAAGTCGGCTTGACTGAAATTAATGCTTTGTATAGTGTTTCCAGATTAGGGGTCCTCTTGCCTGTTTTTTCAAATAGCAAAAACTCTTTTTTTATAATTGATTTGGAAAGCACCACAGCATTAGTTGATTCACCATTTCTCGAAACACCTTTTATTGCTCTCTCTAATTGAGCTGCAAAGCTGTCTTGTTCAGTTTCTGATTCGCTTACGCCTGCTTCGACAACTTCTGAATTATTTCCTGTCGAAGGTTCTGTAGTAGTGGGAACAGTGGGGTATAGACGATTGAATAAGTCTTCAGCGTATCCAATTAAAAATGTCTTGCTATTATCGGTAAAATAAGCACTCTTTTTGAGAATAAAATTATCGGGGCTGTTTAGGTAGCGTAGCAGCGATATTAGAGGTGTATTCCGACGATCTGATATTTTCATTTTAAGAGATTCTACTAACTGAAGAGCCAAAGGGTCGTCGATACTTTCTAATTGTTTTAGCAACACATCTGTTATAGCCTCTGCAGTTAGTAAATTGGCATCTTGTCTGCTCAATGCTTCAACTGCAAGTTTAGTTGGCGTCAATATCAACCGCAATTTTTGTAGTATAGGAATATTTTCCTCCTTCCATTTAAATGAGCTATCTAAATCAATCAAGGCTTTTTTAATGGAATTTTTTAACTTCAAGAAACGCTCAATCATTGTTAGCATTGAATTCCACCTAGTTCTGACATCCTGTAATAAGACTAGTTCGGCCCCGAATTCAGTCTTCACATGTTTTTGTAGTGTGATATTTCTAAGGGGACTCTTTCTGAAAAATCTTATGATCGAACGGGTCTCATTTAGCACTTTGTTTATGTCGTCAATAGGCTGCAATATAGATTCATCATCAGATTCTTCGTCATCGTTATCAGTGCTGGCTTCATCAGAGCTGCTGTGTTCATCGTCGCTAACAGGTGTGTTTCTTCTAGCAACTGTAGTTACTGTTTTTTTTTTGCAAAAGGTATCAAGAATAGCCAAATGGATGGCATGGTTTACACAGAGGACCATCTCACAGGGGCTCTCTCTGCCAAATTTTTTCATAACATTTGGCCCGTCGCTTGTTACGGCCAAGACATAATGCTCGAAGTTTACCCCAAAGTATTTCAAACGCTCCTCTACTATTTCTCTAACCTCTGCGGCACCGCATTTTCCGGGTATGTAAACTAGCCCCAAATTGTAAACTTTTGCCTCTGCTGTATGAACACAGACGCTAAAATATCGTCTGTTTCGTATGCTCGTCCACTCGTCAATTGTCACACTTAGCCGGTTTCCTGATGGTGATTTGCAAAGCTGAGAAAGCTCTTTTATCATCTCTTTCTCCTTTTCATCATAAAACTTCAATATTAGGTTCATAACTTCGGTTTGGGTCTTTGGAAGTTTATACCCCTTGGCAGCAAGTGATTCACGGATAAATTCACTTTTAGAAATGCCTCTTATAGTAAAACCATCTTGGGCTGAAAGTTTAGCTAAAATTTCACCTAACGATTTTCTGGGTTGAACGTCAAATTTCAGTGTTTGCTGTACGTGCATAGTTTCAAAATCACTTCTTAATTTTTTTGGTGCCGTCACCCCGGAACTAGACGAACTGGTAGATGCTTCTTCTGTGTCCATTTTAACCTCGGTGGATCTTACATCAATTTTGTGTACATGAGCTAAATGCCTCACTAGTCCGCTTGTGTTTGATCCTTTACAGGCTATGGTTTTAGGACATTTTAGACATTGCGCATTTGAGGCGTCCTTATTTTTCTTGAAATATTTCCAAACTTTGGAAGTTTCCATTTTGGTTCATTAGTTGTAAAATCTATAACAAACAGTTCAAGAATTAGTAAGTATTTTAGTTTAGTACCTACAAAATAGCTGACGCAACAGTGGGGAGGCCTATGCCCAGCAGGGGGTTGATGTGGTTAGGTTAGGCTGATGATGATGATGAAAAAATAGCTGTGTCCTTTTGTATACTACGTTTGGTAGGATTGGTTGGATACGTTTTGTGTTATTTGTAGTAGATAAATTGCCATAAAACAACGTCTTAATATTATGTGTTTAGTTTAGAACTTTAGGCTTTTGTGGGATTATTACAACATCTGCAATACAAATGCAATTAATGAAATCGGTAAATATTTATGCACTAACAATTCTCTTATTTGATTAAAAACAAAAGTTTTATTTCTTTAACATACCTAATATTTTAAACAAAAATATTATTTTGGTAATACAAAAGTACTTACAAAACAAAACAAACACTTGAACTATTTAAATAAATAATAACAATACTTACCTGTTTGTTCTGCGATTCTATTACTCGTGCGTCACTAAATAGTAAATACACTCACTATGCTGGGTTTATGATCCGACCGATCCGAACACGGCGGGAGTTGAAACACGAATGAACAAAATACAACTGAGGCCGCGTCGCGCTTGCGTTTGTCGGCAAAAACAAAGGATACCGACAGACACGAGCCGTGCTGTCAAAGGATGCCGCTGCCGCCTCGCATTTACAAAGAAAGCTAAGCGTAAAAATGTTTATTTAAACTTCTCGATGTCTCGACTTTTCTCGAGCTGAATTTCCCGGGTACGAGACCGACCGATTTCCCGGGAATTCCCGGGACGAGAATTCCCGGGAACAAACCCTAACGCTCACAGAATACCAGCGTAAAATAGCACCTTAACACTGCTGTGTTTCGTATGGTGAGTGTAGAGAACCGGAGACCCTTTTTACTGGAAAAGAGGCATTCCATCTTAGTCCTCACGGAAGACAACGCATCTGCATCTTGAGTCTTTATTGAGGATAGATGTAGATGTCTATGGGTCACAGTAACCACTTACCATCAGGTGGACTGTGTACTCGTTTGTCACCCTATGAGAGGTTTTTCTGGCTTGATTTGACAAATATACATAAATGGCCGATATTCCTGCTTTGTCATCACTCTACTACTGTTGTATGTATTATTGTGTATAATATATAATTAGTATATAATTTAGGAAATTCAATAGAGCAAGATGTGATCCCATCTACAAAATTTTCTAAAATTAATTTTTTATCTGACTTTGGGCGTGGCAGAGCCACTATGCAACTGTAATATGATTGCAGCACAATTTGATCGGTTCGTACTACGAAGGACCACTTTTTCCCAGAATACCGGCGTGAAATAGCAGCACATCACAGCTGTGCTTCGCTATGCTGCCACGCAAAATTTGTTCGTTTACTTTTTTTTATAGGATAGAGTGACAAACGAGTACACAGTCCACCTGATGGTAAGTGGTTACTGTGACCCATAGACATCTACATCTATCCTCAATAAAGACTCAAGATGCAGATGCGTTGTCTTCCGTGAGGACTAAGATGGAATGCCTCTTTGCCAGTAAAAAGGGTCTCCGGTTCTGTACACTCACCATACGAAACACAGCAGTGTTAAGCTGCTATTTTAAGCTGGTATTCTGAGAGAGCGTGGTCCTTCCCCGGTCGCGCCGATCCATTCGTGCTACAACTATACTACTAATATAGCTGCAGCATGGCTCTACTACGTAAAAAAATATTGTATTTGTAACACATTTTATTCAATCTTTCAGGGTGGTCGGACTCCATCACTATCTCCTGTTGCTGTACTGGTGAAGCAATACTACCAGGAGCGATGTAATTTATTATTTATTTTATCCATAAACACTTTGATTTTATTTATATGCCGAACAATCAAGTAGTCAGTTAATTGTGGACGATAAATTGCATAATCGAATGATAATAATATTAAGCAAATTTGCAAGTTATTTAAAAAAAAAATCTCAAATAGTTTTTTTTTAAAACAGTTCCCGCACATATTTATAGAACTAAGAAATTTACTATGTTATTGTTAAAAATTTAAGACAGTGACCGATGACGTGAACTACGAAACATTTGTGCAAAGAACAATTATTGATGGAACTAAAAGTTTGCAAAGAAAGCCGTAACAAAGTTATTTTGATCTTTTGTACTTACGTGTTTGTGTCCAGTTGACACTATGTTGAATCGGCCTCAGATTAATAATTATTTCATTTTATAGTATATAAAAGCAGTGTTATGTTTGCACGCATAATGTTTTAACAGTATTATTATTTCCCTAATTAAAAATTAAAGGAATTTTTGTTTAGTTTTGTGACTAACATTCTCGTTAGCATTTGAAAGAACCGAATTATTTTTAGTCTACATTCCTATTAGTATTTCTTTACGTTGTAAGTTGTCAGTGTTATAAAAATTGTTAATGTTGTTGGGAAAATTGACATTAGCCTGTTTGGAATGAGATCTGTAGTGATGGAAAGAGAACAAGTGTTTAGATTGTAAAGTATTTTTTTAAAGCTATGGCACCAAACTAAAACTAATTTATTTAATAGTAATAAAGTGTTTCTATCACATCTTATGAATGCTTTACGACAAGACATGGAGAAAAAAAAAACCCTAACGAGGTACTTATTTCGCACAGACAAAATTATATATTTTTATTTGAGTGTATTTTTATTAAGGGCATCTTATACGTTAAAGCTTTAATTGATATCGTTTTAGAGTTATATTACAATCAGTGCATTTATTTGTGTGATGCATTATAACGCGAAAATAGAAAACCTAATGAATTACGTATAAAATAATTCAGTGAAGCAATTTATCCCGGTCGTAAATTACAGACTATATAATTATGTATATATCAAGTCGACACGATTTGGTTTTTATACATCTCGTTTTAAATAATAATCTTCAAACAGTTTGTTTTACAAACATGAAAACCGAATGGAGTGAATTTATTCTAACTTAAGAATTTATCATTAAGGAAGTACCTATGCTTACTCTTTGGTATTACTAGATACGGCACACAGACTCCCTTAGAGTAGACTCGAAGTTGAAGTGCCGAAGTGTGCGACGTACATATCTTATTATAATGTACAGCATGTAACCCAGTTCCCGTTAAGTTCGTTATTAGAAACAGTATTCGAACATATAGAAATATTTTAACTTCAGAAAATTCGACTACAAAATAATTAAATAAAATACATTTTTATTTGCAAATTGTATGGTTTTATTACCTTTAGTCACGCGCATCCGTAATGCGGGGTCCTTCACAATACTCTTTACCTTACCCTTTACGTGGTACAGCCATGCTGCAGCCATAGTAGTACAGTTGTAGCACGAATTGGTCGGCTCGACCGGGGAAGCACCACGCTCTCACAGAATAATAATAATAATTTATTGCTTGAAACAAGTATTAAGTTGTTACAATATTGTTGGGTACCCTCTTTGAAGTAAATAAAAATAAACTGTAGTAGAGAGCCCCGCTCTTCCGTAGTACAATTACATTACTACTTTAAATTAGAATTAAGTAAAAAAAAACAACATAAATAAATAAATAAAAGACAATACCAGCATAATGCTGCTGTGTTTCGTATAGTGAGTATAGACAACCGGAGACCCTTTTCACTGGAAACGAGGCATTCCACCAGTCCTCACGGGTGACAACGCATCGGCATTTTGATTCGTAATCGAGAATAGATGTAGATGTCTATGGGTCACAGCATCCACTTACCATCAGGTGGACTGAGTGCTCGTTTAATCACCCTTATTCCATAAAAAATACTCTTGCTCCCCGGTCAATGCACTTGCAATTTGCTAATAAAAATTTATTTATTTAAATTTAAATAAATTTTTATAGTTGATATTTCCGAAATAATTTATATATGTTTGAATATTAATTCTGGTAACGCACTTTACGGGAACCACAGGGTTCTTGTTACATGTTGTATAGATAAGGGTCCTTGTGTTATGTTCCAGTGTACTTAGTTGCATTTAATTAATAATGAAAAACCTTGTAATATTTCTTGTGATTACATAATTACAAACAGAATTCGTGAGTTTACGTTGCAGGTGTAACTTTTTATATGAACTGTTCTTGACTTTAACAAAATTCTCCATTTAAAAGGTTATCTGTTCTCTGAGTTTAATGATGTAGAATATAAATAAAGAGATAATCGAACATTCGATGAAGTAGATATTATGTAAAGGTGATGTTGTATGATAGCGTATAACCTTTAAGTTTGAAACGCACTTTTGTCTCTTAGAAATTAACTTTTAAAATGAGCACCCAAATACAATCAAACGCTGCTTAGTTATAAGATGAGTTTAAGTATCACGCTGTCTCTATCACTTTAAGTCATAGTGACTGTGACACCACGAGTCTTAACGACATCTTAAAATTGAAGATGTCGTTGAGTCTCGTGCTGTCTCTATCACTTTAAGTCATAGTGACTGTGACACCACGAGTCTTAACGACATCTTAAAATTGAGCAGCGTTTAAGTATTTGGCCATAAGTGTTCAGTTATTAACTTTTTGAAGAGTTTCGTATAATATAAACGAGAATATTTTTCTGATCTCGGGTGAGTTGTACTTAATATTATATTGACTTTATTTTTTTTGTGTTAATTCCGAAATACTTTCATTAAACAAAAATCTACAAGTCGCTATAACAACATCATCGTCATCATCAACACATTACATTATAGGTCTATTAGGGTAAATAAAAAGGGAGACTAATGGCCAAATACTCAAACGATTCTCAATTTTAAGATGTCACTAAGTCTCGTGGTGTCACAGTTACATTGACTTGTGATGAAGTGAAAGAGACAGCACGATACTTAACGGCGTCTTAAAATTGAGTATTTGGACATAAGAGAGAATTTTTCTTAATCACACTAGGAGTGCTGATTAGGAACGGAGTAGCAGACGTGTGGTACCTTTGACAATGCTTTTTGTCGCCGCTCTGGATATTTTACGTCTGACGTAAACGAAGATGGCGTATCACCGTCTATCGGAAGCCATAAGATTTTTCTAACTTTTTCCATATTCAACCTCTTAGGACACGCATAGGACGCAGTGAAGTGACGTATTCTCTTTCGCCGCCAACACCAAACACTTCTTTGTGTACTAGACGGTTTCTGTGGCCTTAATTGCGCACTAAGTTACGCTCAATTCTTCGTAACTCCTTTAGTCGACTGCGAGCGGCCGAGTAGTCTAATTCTTCGTTCTGTAAAGTTGCAATCGTTGTTTTCGACAATCTTAACACTGATTTTGTTTAATGTGATTAGAAAACGCTGTCATTATTCATGTGGGCACTTTGTCAACGTTTTTGATTGTCATTTTTGCCTAAAAACAGTAACTGTCGTAAATGAAAATACAATTACTATTTTGCGTGGCATATTTACCGTGCCAGTGCCAGCTACGCGCCCGCACGAATCACAGCTGTGACACTTTGTCTTTGTTCTTTGATTTGTTATGAATTGACTGTGTAGTTAGCATACATAGAAGTCTTTGGCCAACATTCGAAAGTCAAGTACGATGCCTATACACTTACATTGGGAATGTTAGATTTTGGGGTTAATTTATATAATTATTAGTGCAATATTTTTTTTAAATTTTATTTTAAACATTTTTGAATAAATATATTGCTTTAGTCTCCACATTAATATCATCGAAGAATATCTTATGAAATAAGCAATATACAGATTGTGCAATGCTTGCCCTTTTAAATGTAACTAATGTAAGATTTTTGCAAACAACGTTATTTTTAATCTGAAGTTATACATGTTTTTTAATGAGCAAACAATTTTAAGCACTACATATTTACAGCGTTTATTTTGTGATATAGATAATTTATGATTATAGAATGCTGTGTTTATTTGTCGCATAAAAATTTACAAATAAATTGTGTTTTATTTCATCTTAACCCTGTGTCTGTAAGATTTTCCGCTGATGACACCTTTTATTGCAGTTTAATCGGTTCAGTGCGTTTGTGAGGCGTACGACACGCGAGTCGTGTCTTTTTAAAAATCGTTATAACTCACTCAAATAGCGTTTTTGGAAGATTTATCCAGAACAAAATATTCATCATTTTGCAAGTAGTTTATGCCTACGGCTTCGTTTCAGGATATTTTGAAATTTTTAGGGGTTGCCAACCTTTTTTTAACTTGTACATGGTACTCTTTTTACTTTGTGGGTTTTAAATCATGTTGTGGAAAAATTGTCCAATAAGTAACAAATAATAGCACTCATTGCGAGCACTCACAAACTCAAGTTGTAAATCAATTTCTGGAAAACAAGTCTCCTGTTATAAAAAAAACAATGCGTTTGTCTTATTGTTTAATTTTCTTAAAATGGTTGAACTGCTGTCTCATTACTATCATATGGCCGAATAGACCTACGAAGTATTAGGTGCTTTTGTGATATGGTATAAGGTTTATTTTTGCATGAAACAGTTCGAAACCGTTCATGCATAAAAAAAGTTCGCTAATAAATAGTCTTTTGTCAATCCGCCACCGTATAGCGTCGTCGTTTTTTTTTCTTTTGAAAATACTTGTTTTGCTATTCTTACCAATTAGACGTATTCAGATCGACTTTACTTTTACATTTGTATAACACTAAATAATATTTAACATTTGTAAATATCAATGCATCATAAACCTTATTTTTTTCCAAATTAAGGTTCTTGATTGTTTGATATTTACAAATGTTATTATTAGGTGAATATTTAATTTATGCAGCTGCAGCATGGCTCTAGCACGTAAAAAATTTTTTTTTTTTTATAGGACAGGGGGCAAACGAGCATGCGGCTCACCTGATGGTAAGTGACTACCGCCGCCCATGAACAACTGCAACACCAGGGGAATCGCAGATGCGTTGCCGGCCTTTTAAAAAGGAGTACGCTCTTTTCTTGAAGGTCCCTAAGTCGTATCGGTCCGGAAAAATCGCTGATGGTAATCGATTCCACAAGGAGGTCGTGCGAGGAAGAAAACATCTTCTAAATCGCACAGTGGTGGACCGCCAATCATCCAGATGGTGTGGATGGTATCGGGAGTTCTGCCGCGATGTGCGTTCGTGAAATTTGGCGGCTGGGATTATCACCGGGAGACCGCTATCACCTTTTTTTCCTTGGTTCTACGAATTTATATTGCCTTTTGTCATTTCAGTTGATCTTACGAGCTGTCTGAATAAAAAACGGGATGACAGAAAAGAAAGAGGAAAAGAAAAGAAAGAGAACACCTCTGAAAGCTTCATGTGAATGGATGAATGGTCAACGAAATAAAACTCTTTAAATCATACACTTACAAACTTTATTTGAATAACACAATGCGCTCGCTTCTCACCGACGACCCCAAAATAAATAAACTAAACAAACAAAACCAACAACAGTTTGGTCCTCCGTACAACATAGTCTTGTCATTACGTATCATTAGAACATCCAGAAAAAAAATCAGTCATACAAAAACAAGAAAAATACATAACTCAGAAAACTAATAAATAAAACTGCGCTCCTAATCTCAATTACAATTGGTTGAACTTAAATAAAAATAATTTAAGTAAATTACAATTATATAATGTCTCATTAAACTTCAAATAATATTATGTTTATAAAAATATAATCTGCTACAGCTATTTGTATGGGAGCGCAATTTTTTAAGAAACATAAATATCTTTATTAGTACAGGAACTAAAACAACTCTGTGATTTATAGATATTTGCGAGAAAATTATTTTTGTAAAATAAATTCTTTACTACCTCGCAAAACCAATACAAAAATAATACTTCGACGTCACAAAATCACATCCCATTTGCAATACTTTTGTGTTAAGCTTAAAAATAAATACACGCGGAACCCTAAGGAGATCGTTTTATTATTATTATTATTACATAAAGCAGACCTAAGAGGTTAGGATTATTAAGTACCTAAACTACACAATAACAAGTTGGCCAAAATTTGTGAGAAAACTGAGAAATTCCACCTTAATTTAAATAAATACGCTATGTAATAAGCTACAAAATTTAAGCTAAGGACTGGCCAAATATTAGTGTTTTTCGAAATACCCACAATATTTGACAATACAATACACAAAAATACAAACATTCCTTTTCAATACGCACAGCCAACTATTTGCCACACTCGTCCAACGTTCGCGACCAACACGCTCAACTTCCAAAACTCAACAAAGCCAATACGTAACAAGTTACATTAAATATCACAACACGTCAGCGCAAATAAAGCCGTATACTTCTTACAATAAAGCTGCTAATAATTCGATCGGGCTCAACATCTCCCTAATAACAATCCAATTAATACTGGCGTGTTTGTAAACGCTTCTAAAACGTCCATCCCATTTCAGTCTTTCTCATTTTGACCGACTATACCAACCTAAACTAAAATTTTATACCAAGCTAGCGATAAGTCTACTTAAAAATTCGTTTATTCTCTTTCTGAAGCTAACCTTATAGTTCTACAAATATTATTGATGAACATTCTACAACAAAACTGCCTCACCAACAATTTATTGCCATCCAATCGTCACCAAAACACTTGCTTTTGAAAGTTCATAGAGATTTAGGAGAAATTAAACATCTATGTACTTTCGCTTATTTATTTTCACTAGCGATCCATCCCGGCTTCGCACGAGTGACTTCCGGATCTCGATAACAGCGCCACCTACAAGCTCAAACTATAGAACTATAAGAACCATCCAGGTGACCCCATAAAAATTCCGTCAAAATCGATCAATCAAGCCGTTAAGGAGTAGGAATTATGAACACACGCACTTTATATATAAAGATAGCATTATTCTATCCGTGAACACTCAAGAAATAAACTATCACTTTTAAAACCCATATATTCCTTTCTTCAATATTATGTGTAAGACAAATATTCCGTCCATTCAACTAGACCGGTAACAGAAACTTCTGGACGGTAAATTCTATTGAAAGACATTTTTGGCGTCAATACACCTTGTCGGCGGCGTGTTGATTTTAACCCTTAATCAAATACTGGGAAATAATAACCCACTTGTTCCGTTCAAACATAATCCGATTTATTTTATCATTCGTAACACCAAGCAATGTCAACCATAGACAAATACAACCATGGTAGTTTTTCTCAGATCATAAATGACAACACTTTTCTATAAATCTATAAGTGTCATCTTATGTCAATGTCAAAGTCAGCAGTGGTGTTTTTTTTATGAAATATTCCGGTGTAATTCAAAGTTGAGGTGAAAATTTAGTGAAAAAAATCTGGTAAGTGCATATATGCAATACCATTGTGTACTAGACTTATTTTCTCACCGTTTTAATTGAAAAGGGCCCTGTTAAACGTAACAATTCTTGGAAATTTCGTGTCTCAAAAAAGTGGGAAATTATTTCCCAATGTTTGTTCCTGCAGTAAAAAAGAATATGGAAACTAGTTACTGCCCGCGCCTTTGCCCGCGTGAAAGCCGTTTACAGTTATAATTTGATTTGTCCACAGAAACTACTTGATTTTTGACGTGATTATGTAACAAATGCAAACTATCGCATTTACTATAATTCTAGGACAAACCATCGGACAAAATTTGTTAATTTTTGTTGTATCTTATTTCCTTCAACTTCTTAATACTTATTTACAGAAATGGATAAGAAAAAAAGAAAACTACTGACAGAGAAAAGTCTAAGCGTAATAGTTGAGAACATGAGTGACTTATCTGATTTATCCGACTACGATTCTGAGGACGATCCTTGTTATGAGAATAGCATCCATTCTCCCTCTTCGAGCATCTTAAATCAACCAGATGATTGCCTAATAGAACGTCGTCTTGAACAAATTTTTGGCCTCGAAGATAATTTAGATGAGCATACTGTAGAAGTCGAGCCAATGCATGCAGCACATACAGATTTATTGTCAGTTTTAGATGACCAACCTACAACGGCAACAAAAGACATAGTCAGCAATGCTAATTCAATAAATTCTCTTTCTGAGCAAGATACTTCTAATAATCCACTTCAAGTTACTAAGAACTATACACTTAGGAACCAGATAGTAGATATTCCGTAGAACAGACAATAGATATTCCAGAAACAATTTCTTCTAACAATCCAGCTCCTGAGCATTCAAAGATCAGATAACATTTTTTTGGAAGATATTGATATAAACGAGATATTAGAAAATGACCAGCAAGAGCCTCAACTTCACAGTGTTCGGGACCGATCCCAACCAAGAGATTGGAAGATAAAAGGCTTAACCTATGATGTTCCAATTTTTTTTGAAAAGCGTTTTAAGCCCAAGGCCTATGCCTCACACAAAACACAACCACTTGCTGTTTTTGAAAGATTTTTTCCTGATAAATTAATTCTAATTATAACGGAATAAACCAACAGATATGCGTGTCAAAAAAATTGTACTAATTGGAAACCAGTCAGAGAACAAGATATCAGAGCATATCTAGGAATTTTGATCATGATGGGTTTAAATCCTTTTTTCCTGACTTAGAGTTATATTGGTCTTCAGATCCTTTTTATTATAACAAAGAAATAGCGGATGTTTTTCCAATAGTCAGATTTAAAAAAATTACTGAAAATTTGCACTGTAACTATAATGAAACGGAACCACTAAGAGGCTCCACAGACTACGACAAATTATACAAAGTAAGGCCACTTATTACAGAACTGAATAAGGTATATCAGAGTGAAGCATGTAATTCAGTTATACAATCAATCGACGAATGCATGGTAAAATTTAAAGGAAGAAGCTCTTTTCGACAATACATGCCCAAGAAACCCATAAAAAGGAGCTTCAAAATTTGGGCTAGCTGTGACGCAAAAACAGGATTCTTGTATCAATTTGAAATTTACACAGGTAAAGACGACAGTACTGAAAACGAGGGACTGGGCTACAATGTCGTAATGAGAGTCTGTAACAATGTGCCGTCAAATACGTTGGTTGCTTTTGATAATTTTTTTACGGGTTGTAATCTAATGGAAGACCTTTTTGACAAAAACACTTATGCAGTAGGAACAGTGAGAAGCAACAGAAAAGATCTTCCCGATGTTCTAAAAAATAAAAAGCAACCAAAAGCAATGAAATTAGCAAAACATGAATTTGTAAGTGTTACAGCAGAGCCAATAACTGCCATTAAGTGGATGGATACTAAAGAAGTAACAGTGCTTTCAACGGCACATCAACCGCGGGACGTAATGATGGTCAAAAGGACCCAAAAAGATGGCTCGAGAAAAGAAGTTCTTTGTCCAAAGGCTATTGCGTCATATACCCTTAGCATGGGCGGGGTAGATTTATTTGATCACTTTAGATCGTCATATCCCATAAGCCGAAAATCCCGTAAATATTGGATGCGACTTCTCTTCTTCATCATCGCTTCAATTATAAATGCCTATATAAGTTACAACGACTCGCATGTTGCAACAATACACTGTCATCGAGATTTCAGGTTGCGTTTGGCGCGTGCATTAATAGACAATTATACCACAAGAAAGGGACACGCACAGCAAGGCATACAGTTTAAAAATAAAAAGGTGGTGTCTTTGGAGTTCCAGAAGAAATACGATTATTAAACGTAGGCATACATTTGCCAGAAGAAATTAGTACGTACAAAAGATGCAAATTTTGTAGTCTTAAAAAGAAAGAGCAAAGAACTAAAATACAATGTACCACTTGCAAAGTATCTCTGTGTGCTAAGACGTGCTTCAAAAATGATCATACTGCTGTTCCAGGTCAAGAATCAAACTCCAATAACTAAATTGAACTAAATGTATTACTTTAATGTAAGATTAAAAAGTGAGATTTTTTATACTAAAACATTACATTGTATGAGAGTGAGATTTTTGATATTAAAACATTATTTATGCTTGTCTTTATTTTTTATTTTATTTATTATTGTTTCTAAAATTTGTTATGGAATTTAGGCATTTTATAGATAGTGGGAATAGTGGGTTTATTTAATTATCTTATTGCAGTTTCTAAACTTTATTATGGAATTTATGCAGTTTATTATTTAATCTGGGTGTGATGTAACTAGCTAGTTAAAAATGTGAAATATATATAGAATAATGGGAAATAATTTCCCACTTAATTTCATTGCTCAGATTACAGTAAAAGTCATAACCGTATTTGATAATGGGAAATAATTTCCCACTTGACGATATTGTGCTATGCGGTGACGAACAAAGGGAAATTATTTCCCACCGCCTAAACCCCACTTCCCCCCACTTTTCAAAAATTTTGACAACATATTTGAAATCTACGGACTACAGTTACCCTAGAACCATGCTCAATATTTAATTTTCGTCAAAAAAGTTTTCCATTTTGATTAAGGGTTAAAAATGTCATACCAAATAATATGGACTTTTCCACGTTACCTTCACCGTAGACAAGAGGTAATTCTAAGTTGAAAATTTAACTTTAAAAGTTTTAATAGCACCTTATCTCGGTGCACTTGCATTCACACACTACGCAATTGTATTACTTGAGCATTGATCACCATGATATGTCTGATAAGATTCAGTCATTTAAATGTTCATACATGTCAACAGTCACACACGCATATATGTATGCACGCACGTACACACATATATACAAAGCCATATAATATAATAACCTATTATAATGGATACGAAAATAAAGATCAAAATAATGTTTATACAAGGTGAATGTGCATCCTTAATTAATATTTCGGTGCAGTTTCTTTGATAGGTGTTAATTAATTGGTTAATTCAAATTCTAAATTCTAATAGCAACAATATGGAGCACGTTATAGACTGTACATCAAAATCGATCACAATAAGCTAGAACAAATTATATATTATTGGAGAAATTTAAAGACGAATTTTATGCACGTAAAGCATCGGACATAATACAAAAAAATGTTTGGATTCTTCATTATTATCTGATAAATTAGCGCATGGTTTTATATCATTTTAAGTTTACTGGCATATTTCTACTATAAAGATGGAGATATCTGTTAAGTGTCATATCATAATATGATGTGACCGATTAATTAAATATAGCCTGATGCGAGTTGCACAGGTACAGGTTTCGAACCCAAGTTTCTTTATGCTGAGATAAATATCCGTCAAAGCCTAGCAGAAAGGACAAATATGTACAGTGATAAAAGAACGAGCCTTATTACTTATTACTCAAAAAAAATTTTAAACAAAATATAATATCATGATAATAAAAAAAGACATCTACTTCGTTTTAAAAATTAAGTTTTATACATATTCAGAGCCATTCAAAAAGAGTGTATTTGCTATTATTATTTAATTATATAATAATATTTAATAAATAATTAATATACTTGAAGATTTACCCTTTCTAACCGATTAATTGGACGCAATTAAAAGGATGTCGATTAAAAGTGCTCAATCCTTACACGTGTTGAAGAAACAGGTTTAGGGAAACTATTTGTTTCTCTATCCTCTCTTTCTTCCTCGTTTTATTTATGGTCGCTGAGATACTTAAAGTATGTTTTCATTTTATGCATAAGTTGGTATTTCTTTTTATTTTAGTGCACCCCACCCTTTAATATTTCTCTTATTTTTATTTAATTACTTTTCTGGGTTGTCTTCAAGAAATTGCTATGTAGCAATAAGCCCGCCTTTTGTTTTACCCTCAATATTTGTTTTTTTTTGTTATATTTATCACTCCTTGGTGTACCAATAAAGAGATATTCTATTGTAATTACATAAATAGGATCCAACCTACATTTGGGTCATAAATAAGTTATGTATGCCAAAGCCATCTTACATAATATAGAAAAACGACACCAACATACAATCAACATACAATGGACATAAAATCACAAGCAATTAGCAAATTATTGTCACACAATACCGATCCAAACTACAAACGTCAATATCTCAAAAGTAACTTAATTTATAATAAGTCAATATCTTAAAAGTCAATATCTCAAAAGTAACTTAATTTATAATAAGGTCGTAAAATATTGTAATATTAGTAATAAAAACTACATATCTGCCAAATTAATTTTATTGAAATGGTTGGTCACCCTATCATATGAGGAAACAGAAGAATTGTTAAAAACTGGCTTTTGCTAATTGATGGTATTTGTAAAATTATTAGATAAATTTTGTTATTGTTCTAATTTTTTATTTAATTTTTTTTTAAATGCACATAGTTAATACATTTCAGTTTTATATAGACCTTTGTTTTTATAGTTTTCTTTCTTTTTATGTTCAAATATTTAAAGCAATAAGCAATTCTGTTATTGTTGTTTTGTGTAAAACAATCTGTCTGATGAGGTGTATAAAATAGCGCTTAATGAACTATGGTCTCAGGTTTCCTCGATACAGGCTTGCCTAGTGAGGAAACCAACAGATATTACCCATTGTATTATTTTTCTTATTGCTAATAAAACATTTTTCATTTTTCATTTTCAACTCTACGCGGGTTGGATCCTTTTTATGTAACCATGTCCTCTAAAAATATTTAAAATGCACTTTTTTTCAACGATTCAGATAATAATACACGCGAGTCACTATCAAAACAGATGTAGATGTCTTTATTTTATTGTTGAGAATGCCTCAACATAGTAGGAAACGACTGGCTATCCAACAAAATATAATATATATGAAATCTTAGACCAACAAAGCCAAATAGACGAAGCGCATTTCAAGTGAATCTGAAACTTTGCTCAACTTCTTGGTAAGCTTACACACACATCTTTCAGTCTTTACAGCCCTTAAAAGTCCACTACCGGACCACTACAAAAAGAAACCCGTTCAAAGGTATTTTCCAAAGTAATGGTATCTATAACCTTAAGAATGACTTTCAGTAAGTACTATTTCTAATCTATTTTGAATACAGAAATTCACATTCACTCATCTATTTTTCTTTGTTGATCTACAATATAAATAAAAGTTTACGAGGTTATTCTAGATTTTTTTGATAATTCCAATAATAAATTAATCTCATAATCAGTTCGATATAATAGTTTTCATTTTCAAACATGGCAAGTAGAAACAAAAATATCTTGTATAACGACCTATTCATCGCACTTCGAAAGATGTCTCTTTCTCAGTGAACTTACATTACCGTTGAATACAAAAATGTATTGTCAACTATCAAACTACAATATTTCGCCAAAACGACGACAGTCAGATCAATTCGGTTAGAGCATAAATTATTATTCTCATCTCTACTAAAAATATCACATACCTCGCAGTCCGATACTGGTAGCACCGAACCATAGATTAAAAGCGAAGGCTGCACAGACTATAACTAGCGACTAGATCAAGCGAGATTCGTCCTCGGCGACATCACTATGTAGTGATGCTCTATGGGCGGAGGCGGGACTATTGGGGACATTGGCATGTATGCACTCTCCACCTCTGTGTCTTTTAATCTTATCTTGCTGAACTGATCCCGTCCCCTTAGTATGAACTCGACTATTTCTTGCGGCAAAGCTAAAGCTGCTAATCCTTCGTCATTGATATTTAAAGAAATGTCCCCGTCAAACTCGTCCAAGAATTCGTCGTTCCCCTCTAAACACTCCACTGATTTGGAGCACCTGTTCGTAGTGACATGTTGGGTCTCATCTAAGAACTCGCAGCTCTTCGTCTCACCCTTGCCGAGTCCTGAGGTTATCTTGAGATTTTTCATCTTCTTACTCACTTTAAAGCTTTTAAACAAGTCCCGTGTCGGCGGGAACTCAAACTTCTTCTTCTTCGTTTCCACATCCTTGATTTCTTTTGCGGTTTCTGATTTCGGTGAGCTTGCTATCCGGGAATCGCTTTTAAGTCTTTTCCTGCAAGTAAAATATAATGTAATTATTTTTATTACTTTAAAACGTAACCACTGGAACATTTATAAGAATAGTTTTCCGCAATCTATTTTTCTATGAAAGTAGATGTGTGACATGTGCTGGGGTGTAAGAGAACCACATTTCGTACCGTTGGTGTCGTAATAAGTGAGTACGGGAAATACTAAATAAGTCTATGACTTCCAAAAGATGGCAGTAGAACCATTCCTTTTACGTACAAAATAGGAGATGAAGTTTCTGTCGTAGCTATTAGACGTCATTTTAGTTGCCTTGAGCTTGTAATATTTCTGAGCCCACTCAAAATGTCAAGCGTGCAGCAGCGTGGCAGCGAGCCCAGCGAGCTGTGCCGCGTCACGCGCGTGAGTTGTATGAACAGTAGTTGTTACTGTTAGTGTTAGTGCTAGTGCTAGTGCTAGTGCTAGTGTTACCTGAACACGCTGAAGGGCTGCCTGGCGGGCTTGGGCAGCGTGCGCGTGCAGCAGCGCGGCAGCGAGCCCAGCGAGCTGTGCCGCGTCACGCACGTGAGTTGTATGAACAGTAGTTGTTACTGTTAGTGTTAGTGCTAGTGCTAGTGCTAGTGCTAGTGTTACCTGAACACGCTGAAGGGCTGCCTGGCGGGCTTGGGCAGCGTGCGCGTGCAGCAGCGCGGCAGCGAGCCCAGCGAGCTGTGCCGCGTCACGCAGGCTCCCCCGCCCCCCCGCCCACACGTGCCCACGCCCACGCCCCACTCTGAGCATAGCTTCATCGTGCTGCAACGCAAAGAACCATCTTTTTTATAATTTACCATAATACACAGGGTTATTTTGAAATATACGGCTAAATTTACAGAGACCGTTCAGAATAAGTAATATAAGCGAATGGTAAAAAATATAAAACAAAAACTCAAACATTTTGTCAGTTTTATCTTTTATATTCAAAATGTGTAGAAATTATATTAATATTATTATATATAATATTAATATATTAACTGATTGACATTCATAAATATGTAGCGCCCTCTATTTTATTACGCACCGTAAGGGAATGTTCAATTCGGAAGTAGTCGGTAGCGTTCGGCCAGTTTGGACCTCAAGCTAAATCACAGATTTAAATATCTAATAGTTGTTTTGACTGATCGATTCTGGTGTGTTTCCCGATTTAATGAAGTATAGTAAAGTAATACCTTTATTTAAATCTGGTAGTACATTGGACCCCGCTAATTTTAGACCTATTTCTGTACTACCAACTCTCAGTAAAATTTTTGAAAAAATAATTTTGGATCTTGTTTTTTTTTATAGGATCGGGTGACAAGCGAGCTCACAGTCCACCTGATGGTAAGTGGTTACTGTAACCCATAGACATCTACATCTATCCTCAATAAAGACTCAAGATGCAGATGCGTTGTCACCCTGGAGGACTAAGATGGAATGCCTCTTTGCCAGTAAAAAGGGTCTCCGGTTCTCTACACTCACCATACGAAACACAGCAGCGCTAAGCTGCTATTTTACGCTGGTTTTCTGTGAGAGCGTGGTCCTTCCCCGGTCGAGCCGACCTATTCGTGCTACAACCATAATATAGCTGCAGCATGGCTCTACCTCGGTAGTATCAGTGGGCGTTCCTCAGGGCTCGATTCTTGGCCCATTCCTGTTCTTAATCTATATTAATGACTTACCTTATCATGTAGGGACAATCACGATATAGTACTATTTGCTGAAGATACCTCTTTAATTTTCAAACTCAAGCGAGTCAATTAATTGTGACAATGTCACAAACTCAAATGACAGTCAGTAAATTATTACGATGTAAATAATGCTCTATCGAAGTTAGTACATTGGTTTAATTTGGCATTGGCAGCGTGGCGGACTGTTTATGCCCAAATTTTGTCATGTTTGAATGCCACCCAATTGTGTTCGAGCTGGCGCCTCACCCGATGGTATGTAGGTGAGATAAGCGCCGAGGTGTTCTGATACTGGTATGGGGTGATGCAGATATTAAATGAAGTAGGTTAAGAAAAAACGAATTTGATATGAGAATACAAAAGTAAAATAAATATAAATTTTGTAATACTATGTATTAACAGTTACATAAACCATTTACTACTAAATATGACAAAGAATTATTATTACTCCTCAAATAAAGTAAACGTAAAATGTATGCATATACATATTTTTACGACTATTTACATAAGTATGCGTGTATATAATATGTATGATTATATAACCATACATATGGTATGACGGTACAGTCATATATTTATCGTAATATGTGTTTCTAGCATTCTCCCATATAGTTTATTATGATAGGACATTTCCATATAGCCATTCGGGCTCGAACCCGCGGCTGCTCGTTGAATCTTCCGCTCATGGGCCCCGGATATTGAACCTTTGCAGGAGCAGCTGCGGGCCGTAACACGGACACTTCTTTACCCTAAAACCATTAACTTTAACTTTTCAACTTTATTTACTATTAAGGTTAGTATCGATTCTCGCGCGTCAATTTCGTGTCTAAAATGTGGTTTGCCTGCCAACCCGGGCTGAATAATTATGGAGGGTTCATGAAAAAGAAGAATTACCCGAATTGCTGTCGCGGTGGTAATGGTGGCGGTGGGCATCTTTTGTGTCTCCGCATTGTGGCGTAGATGCACTCCGCCACTGACTCGTACGTAGGCTCCTCCAACTGTTCCAGCTTCTCCAGTTGCTCCAACTTCTCCAGCTGCTCCAACTTCTCCAGATTCTCCAGCGTCTGCACGTCACTGCAGGTGCGCGGCGGCTCCTCCGAGATCTCCTCGTACACTCCCGACGCAATCGACGCCACTGAACGACGGTCCGACGCACTGGAAACAATGTAAAAGTGAATTGAAAGGATTTGAGAAACATATCATTACATTCAATCTTTTAAATCCACTGCTGTAGGGATATCCAAAAAAGTGCCATAGGCACAAAATAAATAATAGTACTACGTACAGAAGTTCCACTTCTTTGATGTTAGCTACTTGCCAATGTTTTGAAATCCTGCATAATTATTATTAATTAGATGAATCACGCACGCAAGCTAAATTAAACTTTACCGCTGCGCTCGAGTGTCCGAAATACTAACTGTGCATCTTCTCCTTACTTTCAACAAATAACAAAGAAATACGTGCAGTACCTTTTAATTATTTATTTAATTTACAACAGTTTTACTTTAATATACGAGGGGCACATTGAAATGATCGGGAATAGAATATTTCTGATTGAGTTATAATAAAACCTTTTTTAGAATTTGACTACTGGCCTCTTAGAATCTTAATTACATTCAAACAATTAAAAAAGATGTTTAAAAACAAAAGTTGACACATCGTTAAAAGAAATGGAGCTCACGCGTGAACATTTCCGTGACATAATTTATCACAATTTTCGTTGCGGCTTATCTCAAGGTAAATGTCTCAGCGAACTTGTTTCGATTTATGATGTTGAAGAACCGGATCAAACGACAATACCGAGTGACGATAAAGTTATCACATTAAATGATGACATATCCTACATATATTTCTTTAAACATACATGACTAAAAAATATATAACAATTAATATGCCGTAGCATTTTTTTCGTTTTAATATTATATTACATCATGTAAATGCATATACAGATTAGATATGAGCGCCGAAGGCCAATTCCACGGCGGCGGCGTGGCCTGAAAATTTTCTCGGCGGCGGCGGCGGCGCGGCGTCGCTGCCCATAGGCCTTAGATATTGTATTATCAGGAAGAGATTTCTTTAAAAAAAAAAAACTTAAAGAAAACCATATTTCTGGTATCAAAAACAGCTTTATATTTTTTAATAAAGCCCTGGGGAGCCCCAGCCCAGTGATGGCAACAGTATTTCATGTGAGGCCGAACCTGCACCTTGTAAAGTTGAAGGCGGTGTGCCGACATGAAATACTGTCCTTCTCTGCTGAGCACGCAACGCCAATCTTCGCAGTGCCAATGAGTCGAGCCGCTCTGCGCTGGATGCGGTCTAGTGGAAGGAGCTGGCACTGGGGAGTCCCTGCCCAGAGATGGGAACAGTATTCCATGTGAGGCCGAACCTGCGCCCTGTAAAGTTGCAGGCGGTGTGCCGGCATGAAATACTGTCCCGCTCTGCTGAGCACGCCAAGCTTTTTAAAGGCCTATTTGGCCTTCTCTTACAAGTGATCACGAAACTTGCACGTCACTCGATATGTCGACGCCGAGGATTCCGATACTGGCTGAGGCAAGAAGGGGAGTGCCTTGAAACTTAGAAGATGCTCCGATCTGCAAGAAAGCTGGTGATTCAGTTGCACAATTTCTCGGGAAGCCCATAGAAAGGGAGCTTCGAAAGAAGCGCTTTGGGCCAAACCCGATCGAAAGGCCTTCGCTATGTCTAAACTAACGGCCAATGCCTAACCTTGGACTCTTATGCCTCCGCCCATCTATGAGTCAGGAAGACCAGAAGATCACCAGCTGACAGATCCCGACGAAAACCGTATTGGCGGTCACTAATCAGCTGGTGATCCTCAAGATACCGCATGAGCTGGCAGTTTATAATGGATTCCATTATTTTGGAGAACAATGTGATGGCGATAGGCACAGCTAAACGGGTATGAGCGGTCGCCTTTTTTAGCCAGACTGCAGAATGCAATTGCGATGTTAGTGTGAGTGGCACCACACTCCGGACTCGACAATGATCTGAGGAGCCAAGAGGAGAGTGTACGAAGACCTGATATCTATCTGAATGAGAGGTCAGCAGAAGGTCCAACAGGGAAGGTGCATGATCTTCCACATCTGGAATCCTTGAACTTGGCCTTGTTGGTCAGCTTGCCCCGAGCAGTTTTTGTCTTGAGCGGAATTATCCCCCCCCCCTCCCCCCAGAATACGTGGGGTAGCCTGAGCACCCAGGAGTGGTAAGTTTCTTCTCAGGAGTGGAGTAGCTTGAGAAGCTGATCTTCCACTTCACGCCGGTATTCTGTGAAGTCGTGGTACCACCTCGGCTTGAGCCGGCCCATACATGCAACAGTCTAAGTTGCTGCAAGTGTTAACACCAGACAACAATACACGTTCACTCGGGTAAAATATTCGACTCGACTGAGTGAGCGATGAGCGTGGCGAGGCGATAAGGCGAACTAATACGGTCGGGCCGCACGTGTGAGCGGGAAAGGACGTTGCGCTGCGTTCTTCTCGCGGCGGCGACGTGTCGACATGAACTCAGAGCAACGGCGGCGCGGCACTCATATCTAATACAGATATCACCTGATGAATACTAGAAGGTCAAAGACCCATGGCATTTGTAGGCGAATATACCTAGTTTAAACGTTGCCAATTCAAAATACTCAAATAAAGAAAAACCAAACAAAAAATGTACTTACGGCTAACAATTTAAGGCATAATTTTAAGCGCGAAATTAAAAACAAAGGGACCGCGCGCTGCGGGTGTGTGAAAACAAATTCAAGCGAAAAATGTACTTAAAGTAAAGGACTTAAGGCATAATTCTCTATGTGCGAAGTGACAAGAAATGGGACGGAGTGCCGAAATTCATATTTACTTTTGGCGCGTGCGACCGATATTCCGACGCCGGCGTCCTTGGGGACGGTTCATGAGTCGCTTGACCTAATTTTCGTTTTTCGCGTACACGTCCTTTAAGTTTTAATTGTTGTTTTTTTTTTGTTTTGTGGACATTATAATAAGTTTCTTAATTTGTTTGTGATAGGACATGTTAATAATACGTTAGATTAGATATTTAATAATTTAGTGGTGTTACAGCCCGTGCGCAATTGCACTGTTGCAACTTTTTTAAATTTTAAGATGCTTTGTTTCACAATTTCACGTCGTCAGAATACACCGACACACGAATGGAAAAGTGCATTAATTGAACGGAGAATACTTCGAAAAACAATAAAATACAATTTAGCTATACCGTGCGTGTCGTTTTTCTTATTCCCGATCATTTCAGTGTGCCCCCCGTAATATCTCATAATTTTTACCGTCTCTAAAATAACATTTATTAAATTTAAGAATGGAAAAGAACTCTAAATTATATATATAATTTAAGTAAAAGTAAAATGCTAAAATATTTACAAAAAACTAAAATATTAGTATTTAATGTTTTACAAAACAGATATTTAAATGAAAGTATGTTAAATAACAATTTAAAAATTATATGTAACAACTTTAAAAATTGCTCATTTATAAATGTAGAATATTACTATCCGTACAATAAATACTACTACTTATTAGATGTATGTAAAAAAATTAACTTTAAGATTGACTCAAATTTTTATGAAAATAATTTTTTATGTCCTAAAAATATGTTATTGTTAATGAAAAAGTAAAATAGAATGCACAACTATTCCTAGGAAGGGAACAATTCCTTTCTACTTTAAGTCTTGTAAAAATGTACATTCAGGTAATAATTGTTTTTTTTTTATAGGATAAGGGTGACAAACGAGCACACAGTCCAGCTGATGGTAAGTGGTTGCTGCGGCCCATAGACATCTACATCAATCTTCTATTACAAATCAAAATGTAGATGCGTTGTCACCCGTGAGGACTAAGATGGAATGCCTCATTTCCAGTAAAAAGGGCCTCCGGCCACCTGCACTCACCAAGCGAAACGCAGAGGTAAACCTCTACTTCACGCTGGTTTTCTGTGAGGTCGTGGTACCACCCCGGTTCGAGCCAGCCCATCCGTGCGACAGCAAAATCTGCCGCGTGGCTCTACCACTGTTAAGTAAACTCTCTTACTTCAGGAAGTAAACTCTACTACGGCGTTTTTGAACAAAATGGAAATAGTAAATACCGAGACTCATAAAAAGGGAACCGTACCTTATTATTTTAAAAAATCAATACCGTGTTTAAATAGACAACCTAACACACAGTTGCCTTTACTAGCGAAAACATGTTTTCGTCCCTAACTCTAAATTCAATTTTAGAATATTTCACCAGAACATCGCCGGTGCTATAAATAAAACTGAGGAACTATCATTTGCAATCCGAGAGTTGTCACAAGTCCCAAAGTAGATATGGTGTGTTTGACAGAAACTTTCATTAAAAAAGGTACAGAAATGCTTTTGAAAATACCTGGTTACAAACTATATGCATTGTATTGACGGGGCACTAAGCGAGGAGGGCATGTATAATGATAAATAATAATTTGATATACAAAAACGTGACTAATATTAATGACTTAACATGTAAATTTAGTTTTGAATGTTGTGGCGTAGAAGTAAATAAGATTATAATCATTTGTTTATATAGAACTCCTAATAGCAATCCACAAATATTTCTTGAAAAGCTAAAACAGTTACTAGCAAGACTTACTAGAAAGCATAAAAAAATATTCTTTGCGGTGACTGGAACTTGGACATTTTAAAGCCAAACAATAGTTGCGAAGAGTTACAAAGTATATTTAAAAACTATAACAGTTGCACATTCAGACACCAACAAGACAATTGTCATGTCTCGATCAATTAGCAAGCAACATCAAGCAAGTTAAAGCGGAAGTACATCACCTTGCCTTGTCTGATCACGAAACGGAACAAACACTTTCGCTCAAAACTACAAAATCGTACGAAATATGCAGTTGGTATGAGGATGTCAGAGATTAAAGTAAAGAAAACATGGATAAGTTCTGTAGTTGCGTATCGTCTATTTCTTTCTCAAATGTATACGAAAAAAATAACTTGCAAGAGGCGTTTATCGAATTTTATGATTTATTTAAACTATTTTTTGATCTTTGCTTCCCAATAAATACAATAAAAAGGGCAATTAAAAAAGGGAACCATAAATGGTTGACAAAGAAGGTGTAAGAAGTGATGCCCTTAAATTAATTATTTCATATTT